GCGCCGCTCCCGCCCGGCCTCCGCTGGGCCTGGGGCGCGAGGCCGCCCCCGCCGCGCGCCCTCCGCCCCTCCCACGCGCCACGCAACTCGTTTCTCTGTTTTCTTTTTTCCCGGCTTAACGTAGGGAAGTCAGCTTTTTTTTGTTGTTGTTCCTCAGCTTTTCCTCCTGATCACGTAGGAATTGTTTTTTTGGTAAATGTTGTTTTATTATTATTGTTATTAATAAAAGGCAAAAGGAATTTCTGTTTGAGAGAAATTTTTAACTAGATTCTGTTCTATATGAATTGTGACTTGCACCTTCTGTTCAAAGTACTTTATTTCCTTCAATGACATTGTACCTGTGAGTGGATTTCTCTGGTGCCGGTGGCGACGGCGGTGCCCTGCCCGGGGGTGCCGGCGCGTGCGGCTCGCGCCCTGCCCTGCCCTGCTCCGGGCCCGCCGCGCTGCCGGCGCGGCCGCTGCACAAGGACAGCGAGGAAGCGCGAGGGGCCACGGGCCAGGCGCCGCTGCTGGCGGAGCCGCGTGTCCGGAGCCACGGGGCGGCCGCAGCCTGCGCGGTGCCACGGAGCCCCACGGTGCCCGCGGCGCCGAGTCCCGCGGCGCGGAGCCCTCGCCTCGCTCCTGCCCGTGAACCAGGGCAGCGCCGAGGGCCTTCGCCCCGCGCCGGGCGGGCTGCCCCGCTCGCAGTGCCCGCACGCTGCCGCGCCACGGGGCCCCGCTCAGCGGGCCATGTCACAGCACCACACTTCCTTATCATGGCTTTGTATTGTAGTAATCAATACGCGCAGTATATGTTGAATGTATATTAATATACTTTGCTATTATTTCTGTTTTTTGGAAATGTCAGAAGTATTTTTTCTCCCTCATTTATGTTGGACTTGAGAGAAAAAAAGAAAAAACAAGGTTCCGTAAAACCTTCAGTCCAATTTTCTGTGGGTCACTTGCAACTAGTCGGTTAGCTGGACAGCGGGATCATGACAAATAAAACCATGATTGCGATGGGCTCTGCCTGGCGTGTGCCTCGTTGCTCAGCTCCGCGGGGCGCAGGGGCCGGCACCACACGCGGGCGCAGGGCAGCGCAGGGCGGCGCCGCCGGGACCCGCGGCCACTGCCCCATGTGCCAGGGGCCTCCTTGGGGCTGCAGGACACAGCCCTCGCCCTGGGGCGCCTCTCCCTGCGCCGCCGTGCCCACGCGGGGAGGCTGCCCCCGCCGGCTCCACGCACGTGCCCCTTGCGGGGCGCACGAGGGCCCCTGTGCGCGGCGGCGGGCTCCGCACGGAGCGGGGGGCCGGGGCGCCGCGGGCCCCGAGCACCGGCCAGGCGGGCGGCCAGGGCCGGGGCTGCCGAGGGGCCCCGGCGGGGCCGCCGCGGCGCAGGAATCTGGGTCAGCGGCGCGTAAACAGGCGGCTTGGCGGGCGCGCGAGCCGCGGCCCGCGGGGAGTTCCTGTTTGCGCCGCCGCGCTGCCAAGTGGGCGCTGCCGGCGTGCGCGATCCTTGACCCCTGCGCGCCAGCCCCGCGCGCGGAGCGATCCCTGCCCCGCGCCGCGGCCTTATCTCCGCGGGCTGCCCCTCCTGCATAAATAGCGGCGGCGCGAGGCGGCCGCTCACACGGGGCAGCGGCAGCAGCGGCAGCAGCAGCAGCAGCAGAGCGAGCCGGTAAGCGCCCACGCTCGCCTCCGGCCGCGGCTGTCCCGGGGCGCCCGCTCTCCTGCGGCCCCGCGGAGCAGCCGCCCGCACCGACCGCGTCCCCTCTGCCCGCAGGTCCAGCCCGACGATGAGAGCCGCGGTGGTGGCCCTGGCCCTGGTGCTCCTGACGGGTAGGTGGCAGCGTGGCGGCGGACACGGGGCGCCGGCGGGCGCGCGGTGCTCAGCGCGGCGCTCTCTCCGCAGGCACGCAGGCACGGTCCTTCTGGCAGCACGATGAGCCCCAGGAGCCCCTGGACCGCCTCCGCGACATGGTGGAGGTCTACCTGGAGACGGTGAAGGCCAGCAGCAAGGATGCCATCGCGCAGTTCGAGGCCTCCGCCGTGGGCAAGCAGCTCGAGTAAGTGTTGCTGGCGCGCGGCCGCGTGTGCCCTGCGTGCCCTGCGTGCCCTGCGTGCCCCGCGTGCCCCTCGTGACCGCGGCCGCCGCTCTCCGCAGCCTGAAGCTCGCCGACAACCTGGACACGCTGAGCGCGGCGGCCGCCAAGCTGCGTGAGGACATGGCACCCTACTACAAGGAGATGCGCGAGATGTGGCTGAAGGACACGGAGGCGCTGCGCCAGGAGCTCAGCAAGGACCTGGAGGAGGTCAAGGAGAAGATCCGGCCCTTCCTGGAGCAGTTCTCGCAGAAGTGGACGGAGGAGGTGGAGCAGTACCGGCAGCGGCTGGCGCCCGTGGCGCAGGAGCTCAAGGAGCTCACCAAGCAGAAGGTGGAGCTCATGCAGGAGAAGCTGACGCCCGTGGCCGAGGAGGCGCGCGACCGCCTGCGCGCGCACGTGGAGGAGCTGCGCAAGAACCTGGCGCCCTTCAGCGACGAGCTGCGCCAGAAGCTGAGCCAGAAGCTCGAGGAGATCCGCGAGAAGGGCATCCCGCAGGCCGCCGAGTACCAGGCCAAGGTGGTGGAGCAGCTGAGCAACCTGCGCGAGAAGGTGTCGCCCCTGGTGCAGGACTTCAAGGAGCGCCTCACGCCCTACGCCGAGACCCTCAAGACGCGCTTCATCAACTTCCTGGACGAGCTCCAGAAGAACGTGGCGTGAGCCGCCCGCGCCACCGCCAGCGCCAGCGCCTGCGCCTCCGCGGGGGTCCTGC